AAGTGTACATTGATGTAACACTTTTTTAAAACAAACATCGTGTACGACTACTCTATTTCAAAACGAACGCTTTGGTGTACACTTGATGTGAAATACAGTAGAATCTGCTTAAAGGGAACATTAATGACAGTCCCGAACGAATTGCATGTAAAATTCTTCGGTTAATCGGGACAGTCGGGATAATGGGGACAAATAAGTTATAACTTATAAGTCACCACTCGATGTGTTCCAATTAAGCGGATTCGACTGTATAATATTCATATTATACAATTATAAAATGAATTAACGTAAATTATTTATTTATCTCATAGTTTACCACTTTGCCCACCATATGTTTTCACTATGCCCTAGCAAAGTGAATAAAATTCCACTTTTAAAAATTTTTCATTTTATCATTAATTGAGTGATATAATTAAATTTTTTGAAGGAATAAATAATGGATTTGAGAAGTCAATTTATGATTATATTAATAAATAGTTATTAAAATAATAGTTTGGACACCATTTTTTGACACATAAAGTTAACCTATGCGTTTTGCTCTGGTCTCCCATACATTTGTCTTGTAACCATACGGAGTACGGACATACGAGATATTACGTACCCATATAATAATATTATCTATTCTTAAATTATGACTTATGCTATAGTTTCTACTTTCTTTGCGGCTCCTTTTAAGTTACCAAAAAATATAAAATAATAAAATAATAATACATCAATGTATAAAAAATAATATTTCTGGAAATCTATTATTTGTGTATTTTTTTTTTTTTATAAACAATATAGTTTGTAGTAAATATGTAGGTACGTAACTAGGTGATTTTTCCATAATGCATTTGAAACTGTTATGAAATCAAATTAAAACAAATAAATAGGTAACAAATACAATTATAGTATTAAATAGTATTAAATTTGTATTTGAATTATGTTTAAAAACAAATCTACTGTGATATTTATTAAATATTATGTCGGTTTATATTCTATAATTAATATGTAATATTATGCTGTTACATAAAGATAATTTTGAGTTTGTTAGTAGGTATACCTTCCTACTTGCTAAACTCTGGAACTACTTATCCAAATTTTTGTGTGTTTAGATCTTTTTCTTTGAACCTGAAGAAATTGCTAATTGCTGTGGTTCGAAATCGAATTTCGTTTTAGATCACGAAAATCTAATACCTACTATTTTGTTAATGTATATGGTATATATGTATATATTACTACTTGCTATTGGTTAAAGTACTATATTAATTTTATATATTAGAATACTAGGATAAGTAGGATTGGTATTGAAGCAATGAAAATATTTTAATTTTTAGAACAAAAATATAAAAAAGTGGGAAAGTGGATGTCGCTCTGCTGTACAGTAGGTTACAAGTGGGTGATGTTAAATTTGAATGCAATGATATAAAACCATTGTGCAGGAATAACGGTTCAGAGGGAAGACGGTCTATCAGACTATAATATTACTAAGTAGGTATATTTTTATGATATTATTGTGATTAAAGTACCTAATTAATAATAATTGTAGTATTGGGCATTAGTATATAGGTACAAGTGTACAACGGTAGTTTATATTCATTTTTTCCAAAAAATTTACATTTGAAAATCTTATATTGTGTATTAAATATAATAATACACTATAAAAGTTTCATATAGGTATACAAGAGTAATATTTTTAAGTTACAACAAAATAACTAAAATCGTTATTCTTAGTTTTAATATGTACTTTCATCGAAATTTAAATTTAAAATGTCTGTAAAAAATAACTGTGTTTCATAATATCATTTATTTATCTTTGGTAATAGTCTGAACTATTTATTAGAATCATTGTTTTAAATTTTCAATACTTAGCTATAAATATTGAATATTTTATATTTTTATAATAAGTCATCAGTTATTAGTGGTATTTAATATTTAAAGGCAGGATATCGTGACTTTAATGCAATATTTTTAAGTAGGTGGGTCTAACACCAGCATTTTTTCACCATAACATGAAATAGCGCCAATGCTAAGCCCCCAAAGAGTGATGAAAGACACAAAAATTAAAAACTAAAAAAGACATCAAATGGTAAATAGTATTTCTATAACAAATAATTATGTATGCTACTAGATAGCGCTCATTTCGTATTAGCAAATTCCGGATATTTACGGTCCGTGATATTACGGAGCATGTATTTTTGCTTTCCGGTATTTTACGGTCCTGTAATTTAAAGTCCGGGACATTACAGTCCGTGATATTATGGTTCAATATTTTTGAATTCCGTAAATTTACGGTCCGTATATTTACTTTTCTTGGGAATTTTTTTCCGGATTTTTACGGTCCGTGACATTACGGAAAAATTCCGGATTTTTACAGTCCGCCTTATTATTTTCCGGACATTTACGGTGCCCCGTACGTAGTAGTATACATTTCCTAATTATTATTTAAATTGGTGCTACAAGTAATATTTTTTTTCATAAAAATTCTTTGGGTAGAAATCGAGTATGTTCACTTTCAAGTTGGAACTAATTATTTTTTATATTCTTTAAATCTTTATTTTTTTGGTATTTTTTTGCGTCTAGCGCAAAAAGCTATTTTGTATTATTAATTTAATTATTGACGGTGAACAACGGTTGAAGTTTTTCAATTATTTAAATATTATAGATACATTTTTATAATTAAAAAGTATACTTATAGATTACTTTAAGATTTAGTTGCTCATTAGTTTTTTTTCACGAGATGAACCTACATTAATACCAATGATAATATTATTACTAATGAAACAAAATGTTAAATATTGTACTAATTAACTATATACACACGGGTAATGTATTCTGAGGTAACAATCTAAATTAAATTGTGTCATAGGTAATCTGTGGAATATGTTTCAAGGTGACCATAACAAGTTTGTTTGAAATTTTAAATTAATGATACGTGTATAATATAATCGTTGTATAGGTGAGTAGGTGACTGTACATGAAATATTTATATATTATCATACGATTAATTAAAACGAAATTAAGAAGAGAGTGCTTGAGTATAATAATATAATACTATATACATACATTTGTGTAGAGCATCTGGTGATACACGACATTATGTTATATTATATATTTTGTATATCAGTCGTGTTGGGAAAAGGGTTTAACCGATGCGGTTATACGTGGGGTACTTACGCCGTACACGACGACCGGACTTGTACGATCACTCGGTCGGGGCTCACAAATTGGACATAAAAAAAAACTCGAGGTAGGTAATTGCTGCGCGTGAGAAAATTACGTTTGATTGTGGTAAACTGGTAACCGGCGAATCCGAGATTCAGAGAGATTGTAGAAAGAAATACACCGTATTATTATGTTGTCGCAGTGTCGCACGTCAACGACCATACCACACAACCATAATCATAATATTATGTGCATGATGTACGGCAAGCAATAACCGTGTTCGGTTTGCGAAAATATTCGCTGCGTTTGTGACGTTTAGAAGAATAAACGCTGAAAAGGGTTTCGGTGTATTATCTATATTATTATGAAAAAGGTCGAGTCCGATATTATAACAATATATTGCATTATGGCGATCGTGATACCACGTTCGGCAATCGCGGGGGTACCTATTGAGTTATCATCACAATAATAATAATATACCTGGTATATTATATAATTTATACGGTTTTTGGTTTTCGGTCACAAATATTTAGACGACGACGACCACCGGACACTGGCCGGTCTGGGTCCGAGCGCGTAATCCGTGACGAGGGGATTTAACACTAAACCAAGAAATCGGCACGACGTCGTGAATCTCATTGTATACACACTAATACACACACACACACATACACAAACACTCGCATTATATCTATTATATTATTATAAAGACACTGTGTATGTGTGTGTGTATGTGTGTGACGGGCAATAATAATATTATCGTCGTCGTGCCGCGACGCGTCGGGGACTCGCCGTCTGTACATAATAATAATAATATTATACACATTACATACACGCCGGCGGCCGAGCACATGGCTAGGGTTTTATTATTATTATTACTATTTCTTTTTCTTTCGTTTTTATTTTTTCCTCTCGTCTCTCGATGATGATGATTATTATTATTATTATTACTAGCGTGTGTTTCGTAGGTACGACAACGACAACGGCGGCGGTGCGCGGGTTATAGTAAAAACTCGCGCACGCGCAATCGTGTAGTCGTACACTCGTACCGACGGAAAAAAAACGCGCGCGCAACGGCGCACCGTCATCGGCGTCGCTACGAACCGGTGAGCGCGCGGGGGCAACGAAGGCGACGACGACAACGACAACAACAACAACGGTCGACGAGCGCTGCGCCGGTGGCGGTGCGTTCGCGCACTACACCGCCGCCGCTGTTGTGAGCGCGCGCGGCGGGGATAGGCCGAGGCGGGTGCGCGTGCGCACGCGCGCCCGTGGATGACGTGACCGCTGCCCCTCCCTACCGCCAACCGAACACCGTATAGTATACGTGACCTCGGCGGCAGTGACGCTCTTACCCGACTTACCTACCGGGCCCAAAATCATTCTCTCGCCGCTCGCCGTACACTTCACACTCTCGCCGTTTCGTTACGCGCTCGTCGTCCATTTTTTTATATCTGTACGTTTTTGTGACTGTGTGTGTGTGCCGCTTTCGGTGCGACTCGATATTATCGCCGTTTACGACATCGTCGACCAACGGTAACCGGTGTGATTTTTTGATAATCGTTCGTTTGTTTAATTGAAAGAAATAATTTTTTTCGTCTCACGTCCGTTGTTCGCTCCGTGCGCCTACATCAACCCGTTTTGAAACGCAACTCGCGCGAACTTCGCCGCCGTCTGTACAGCAGCAGAGCTGCAGTGTGACGGATTAAAGTGCGCGAAAACTACGGACCCGACCTGTGACGGACAAGAGGAGATACGCCGGAACTGTACGAGAGGGAGCATTATAACCGTCGTTTGACGTTATACATTTTACGGTTTGTTGTGTACATTTGTTTGATTTAAACCCGTCGATCATCATGACCGTTACGTATGGCGTGACGGGGACGACCACTGACGGAGGAGGATCCGTAAACAATGGTCGGAGAGTGCTCATGGCGAAAACCGATTCGCTGAGCAATGTCAACAATAACAACAACAGCACCAGCGTCAATAACAACAACGGATCGGCGTCAATCACGGGCAAGGCGTCCGTGTTGAGCGTGAGGCGCGTGCTGTTCGGGCCGCCGGCCGATCCGGCGGAGACGCGGGCGTGGCTTGATAGACAATTGTATGCGGCCACCGCGGCCGATTCGCGGTCGTGGAACTTTGATTTCGTTAACGAACGTCCGTTGCGTGACAGCCCAGCCGACCGTTACGCGTGGGAACGCGTCTGTCCACCGAAGCGTCGTGAGGAGTCGGCCGCAGGGGACTCTACGACCACTGCGACAGCACAACAACAGCAGCAGCAGCAACAACAACAACAGCAAGTTTGCAGCCGAACGGCCGTCAAGCAGCAGCGACAGTCTAAAGTCACAGGTAATAATGATAAATTATGATAAAAATATTAATTCGGTAGGTAGGTAATGTTATCCATTCTTTCTCTCCCAAGCGAGGACGGGGTCCATAGCGTTAAGACGATATTTTTGTTCGCAACGGTTGTGGTTTTTGGTTCGGATACTTTCTCTACCGCACAACGCAACGTAACGACCGTTGTCTTTCTCCTTTCCCGTGGGCGTAAATACGGGATTATTAGTTTTTAACCGGCATTTGTGTGTGTGTGAAGTTCGAGCTCCCCCATCCGAAAACACAATGGGTGGCACCTGCGTGGAGCGTTAGGGGTGCAGTGAACCCTCGTTCGGGCGAAGGGTGCCACGCCACTGTGGGAAAAATGTAATAAAAGTCGTCGTCGGGATGATGTGTTCTGGGAGGAGAGGAGACTTCTTTTGACATCCGTTTTCGGAATACACAGTTGTGCTATTTTTTTTGCCCGACGTTTTTATCATTAGGTACCTATTATTATTATTATTATTATTATTATTTTACTGTTATCGTTTGTGAACCCTTTCCCGAGAAATTCGTGTCGCGTTACGAGCGACCTGGAGAAAATCGACTAGATTTATGTGCCGCCCTTGTCCATCAGTACGCCCACCGTTGTTTTCAGTCGATAAAATCCTGGATTACCATTCCTGTTCGACTCGTCGAAGGGGTGGTGTGGGGCCCTTGACTGTTTTGAAAAACGGTACCTAATTGAAAAAAAAATACGTTTAAAACGCACCACGGACAGAACGTGTGTATGGCGCGCGCGCGCGCGAAATAAATAATTATTATTATTAAGGCGACGGCGGTAGCCGCGGCATAGGTAGTAATAGATATAGGTAGGTAGGTACCGATGTACGATTGTGAAATGGCGCGAAAACAATTTCAGCGTCGAAAGACCTTGAAATTTTTTTCGTTGGAACCGCGCATATTTTTTTTTTTTTAGGTTATGTAAATTCATTATTATTAATATTGTGTTTGTGTTCGATTGTATACGACGTACGAGCGCGTACGAGGACATAATATTATTATTATTATTATTTTTTTTTATTTCGACCCGAGAGAGGAGTGTCACTATAATATACACTGTATATTATATACATACACACTCATACTACAAGGATCTGCCCATAGTAATATTAATAATAATAAGCTCGAGTTGCATATGTGCACACGTGTTCGGGAGACCGGTTTTTTTTCGTCCCACACACTCGTACAAATACACAAACGCACACACACACGCCAACGCGCACATAAACATATTATATTATTATTATACATTTATACGTATATATATATATGTCTCTCTCTCTCTCTCCGTCTGTATGTGCGTATTATTATTGTTGTTGTTGTGGTGGTGCTTTGGGTGGGGAGAAGAACACGCGTATAATATTATAACGACGGCTTTCGGACGCGATGTGTAAATTGATGATTAAAAAAAAGTATAAAATAAATGGCTATTGCTATAATATTATTATCATCATCATCGTATAGGTGTATCCCCTCCCCCCCGCCCCTCCGCGTACAAACGTATCTGAGTGCACTGCGCCAAATGGGCGTGGTCCAGAGAGCTCGGTAATAATAATATTATAGTATCGTTATTATCATTAACGGCCGAGTGTTGTTATCTGTTTTTTATTTTTTGTATATTGTATTTTTTTCGTCCCTCTCCTCGACTCCCCTCGCGACCGTCGTTGAGGTCGCTGCCCTCGGCCCGCTACGACGCTAGAGTAAAATTAGATCACCCCCTCTCCTCCCCACCCACCCGGACGCGCACGGCCCTACCGCCGCCGTCGTCGTCGCATGACATGCTCGATCCTAGTTCGTGTTTGTGGTGTACCTATTATTGTTAAATTTATCGTACCGGTAATATTATTGTAATACGTTGACTGACCTTTGTTTTTCTTTCTGTTTGTTTCCTTTAGATTTCATGAGCAAGACCAAGAAACGACCGTTGAGCTCTTCTGGCAGGACTCTGCGCTCGAACAACAAAGTCTTGGACGAATCTGAATCGGCGAACAAGCGGAGTCGCCGATCGGTCGCGACGACGACGACGACAACGACGACGATGATGGCTATCTAATTCGAAATTGGAAAAAAAGGCAGTACGCTGAGTAAATAATAAAATATAACATATGAATTTGAAAAAAAAAAATATAATTTGATGCCCAAAAGTTTTTCATATTTTCGACGCAAAATTTCGAGATCTCCCAAGTATAGATAGTCTTAACTATAATAATATAATAATGATAACTTATATTTATATATTATATAATCTTCTCCAGGAATTTTCCTGATAAACACGTTCTTATATGACATTATTTTATGTGTATAATTTTTTTTTTTTTTAACAAACCCCCCCCCCCCTCATCGTTATTGTACAGATGTTTTTAAATTTTAAAAATTTTAAAAATTATGTATTTTTTTTTTAAAACAATTAATATTTATACTGTTTTGTTTTTTGATCTCCTTCACGAATATTGTTCGGTTTTTATCCACCGCCTATGCGCAGACTTATTTTGTTGTTTTATTTGTCTACGTTATAATATTACAAATAATGAAAAATCTTATCTATTATTCACCATAATATAATATTATGTTAAGCATATTATAGCTTAAAGTCTGTACGTTTAGTATTAGCTCTAGATTTTAATGTTAACGTGCAATTATACATTTAACTTTTTAATTTTAGCTTGTTGAAAAAATCATAAAAAAAGTGGTAAGAAAAAAACATCACCAAAGTGAAGGAAAATGAAAAAATTTTTCGTCAGACAATTTTTTTTTATTCGTTTTTTTTTTTTTTTTTTATATATGACGATCTTTTTCCATGATTTAATGTATTTCAATTTTCGAGAAGATCTCAATTTTAATGATAAAAATCCAAAGATTCAGTGGTCTCTTTATATCTAATTTTACAATGTCCAAAGAAATATATCTTTCAAAATCCAATTCGTGAATCAAAATTTAACCTAAGGTGATGTATTACTATCGGATCTTTTACGCAGGTATCATATAGACGATATTATTTATTATGTGACTCGTCTTACAGGTGAGGATGATCTGCAGGGGGAGGGTATATCTGTGTAGATCATTCGCAGTTTACATACATCACCTTATTTTATATTATTATAAACAACGTTTAATCCGAGCTCTTCAAGAATTTATTTCAAGTTTATGCGCATCACAAAACGATAATAATAAAAACGAAAATATAATTTCTAAACAGAATTTTTTTTCCAATATGGGACTGAAACGATCTCATTGTTTTAACTATTTTTTTACACAAGGTTATTTTGAACAAAAATTTTCTCTTCTTTGTTGTGAAAATATCTTGTATAGACTAATTGTTTTTCTTGTTAGTAAAAAAGAAAAGAGAAAAAAATTAAAAATAATAGCTCGAAAAATTGTTCCGCTCCGGCTAGTTTGGACGGTTTTTGTTCTCAATTGTTAAAATCTTTTCTCGTGCCTAGTTCAACCTATGATGTATTATTTGTCTGATCTCACGAGGATAGATGGAAAAATCGATATTTTTCATAGGTGTGAATGAATTCATTTTATATGATGTATATTATTATTATTATTATTATTATTATTATTATTATATAATATGATGTGTTGTAAGAGAATTTTTTTTTTCAATTTAGATCGAATAACAATTTTTTTTTTATTTTATATACATATATATATATTATATTATATCTAATATATAATCGGTCGTTTTAATAAAAAAATTTATATTTTATAAAAAAAATTGTATATACAGTTTATATATATAGGACCGTGTTGTTTTTTTTTTTTAATCGACAGTTTTTTTTCATTAGATTTAGATAGACATTAGACGATACCTTAAACGTAGAAACTATTTGTCTTAAGTTTTAGAATTGACATAATTATATTATATTATTATTTATTATATATGTAAATAATATAATATTTTATATTATATATTTATGTAAAAAAATATATACATATATAGTAAGAATTGAAATACTTATTTTAGTTTAAAAAATATATAATAATATTTAAATATTTAATTTTTCGTGTTGATTCAATTTTACCTGACCAACAACCACCCACGTCCGGACGGTGGGAAATGCGCTTTATTCGATCCTATCATCATAATCCCGAACAGTCGTTCTTATATACTTTATTCCTATGCATCTATAATTAGTATGACTCTATATTTATATGCTGCTGATTAATAATAATAATATAGCCGTGAACATCGCAATTTGATTGTGTCATGTCCTCCACAGACTATGCGGGAACACGCCTTTTACTTGCTGCGTGTCTCTAAGTAGATCAAACGAAAGTCGTGAGCAAAGACAATTATTAAAGCTAAAACTTATATTGTAAGTATATTATATATGTTGATAATATGTTCTTGGACCACCGCCGATGACCTGTAGCAGCATTGCACAAAACCGCGGTAGATAAGACACTAATTCGCTCAGTTCTTCGGAGTTTTAGCGATCTACTACTACTAAAAAAAAGTAATAAAAATGTCAACTACGGTGGAAACGTCGAAAACACCGTTTTATGATAACCTAACCAAGTGGTACGATTACAGGTGGTTAGTTATCCTATCCCACGCCTCGCATCGACGACGACTACAGCAGAAAAAGCTAACTATAAAACGCGAATGCGGTTCGTATATTTATTTTGTATTATTATTTTGTTTTGACTTTGGAATCTACCTCAGAGCGACAAAACCTCGCCTTAATGTCACGGTATATTATGTTCTACAGAATTGAATTTTTAGGAGGGGTGTAAAACTTTTTTTTATCGCAAACGATTTGTTTATTGTTTCCCGTTTTTTAGAATAACGATATGATAAATATACTAGGATGCAAATATTTTAAAAAATATTAATATTAATTTAAATATTTTATACATCAATACTTAAAATTCAATTATAAATTAAAATCTGTATAAAAATGAAAATGAAAATGATAAATATCCTTATATTACTTATATAATTATCAACAATTCTCTCAATAAAAATAAATCTCTCGATAACAGAATAATATCATTATATTATTTTTAATTTAATTTAGATTAAGAAAATAAAGGTTTAGTTAAAAAAAAAATTTAATAGGTATTATACAAAATGTATAGGTGCATAATGTCTATGCATTTGTTTATGGTTTTGTTTGGTTTTCATGTTTCTTTGTTATTGTTTTAGTTAATTTTATTTCGTTTGATAATGTTTTATAAAATTGTTTTCAATCCCTGATATTTTGGTGAGTATTAAGATATAAAATTACAATGACTTTCGAAGATTTTCAGATTTTGGTATAGTCAATATATTTTTCTTCACGTTTTTAAACCATTCAAATATACCACCATACCCGCAACAAAATAGTTCTTAAGAGAGAAGCTTTTCGAAACCTGCGCAATAGTAATTTATAAATATTACGTACATAATTAATTATGTAATTTAATATTAAGTAATATTTAGCAGGTATCGTGGAGCAGGAAAGGCTTCCAGAACTACAACAGTCAACAGTCCTATAATTAATTAAAATTATTAGTAGGTATGAAAAGGTCTAACAGTCAAACGCGTGTTGATTTTAAAAGTGTGTCTCAACAAAATTAAAATGTTAACAAAATATGCATTTTGAGATACTGATAAGGGATTTATAAATATATATAGGAAAGGATTAGTGTTTTTATGTTTAACAATTGGCTTTCTTGGGTTTATTTTAAAAGGTCAGTTCATGATTGTCTTGCTGAAACCTCGCATGTGATAATTTTTCGATGGAAAATATTATTATTTACTTATCGGTTATCGTAAATACTATATACGATTTTCCGATAAGCTCTGTAATTCTGTTATTACATCTACTGAAGATCAAAAATGCTTCATATTATTTCGTTATAATATTTTTTAATTCTGCAAAACTAAACATTTTAAATACGCCTGACCAACAACAAATTCAGTGTAAAGCATTGATGCTGTTGTACGGGTGCTAGTTTCAGTCAACAAACCAGCATAAATCCCAAGTAGGTAGTTTTTATTTTTTTACAAGATTTTTATTACATTTCCAAAAACCAATTTCCTAAGCATATCTAATAATGTGGACACACACACGGCTTTGTCTTCATATTCACCTCTTATAGATAAAATTCCATCATGGTTCACTAATTCGATAAAAATTGTCGTTGGTTAACCATTCTACCCGCTTATATTGTATTTTAATAATACATAAATATGTAAAAAAAAATAATATTTCTTTATTTGTTATGTTATACCTAACTCAAAAACTAGTGAACCGTTTTCAATAAAAGTTGTGTCAATATATTCATTGAGTCTCTGAAGTCTGAGGGTGTTCTAGCTTTTTTTTCAACCTCTATATAGCCTATAACACACGAATTTAGTTTTGGCTCAAGAAAATCGAATATTTATTGACCACACCAAAAATATGTTCAGAATTAAGAAGTTTGAAATCTCAAAATTAATCTTTGGAATTGTGATTATATTATTATTATACATTTCAACTGAAGCAAAACGGAAAACGATAGAAAGATAGATTAGTTGGACGAAGTCGGTTAATACTGTATAGCTTCATTATATGATTTAAATTAACTATATATATTTTGATTTCGTGATAACGTTGGGGCTTAAGGAGGATTTTTATGGGATAATCCTCTCCCCCCAAGGGCCAAGACTACCTCAATTTCTTACCCATGTCTCTTTATGATATTATTATATTCTTTTCTCTGTCCGAATATCATCCGCCGACGATACGATTGAGCTCGCGGCTGCCAAATATATTGTATTACCATTTATTAAAACAATATATAGAAAATGTCGACGGCTCGTTTCCGCTCGTTCTATTCAACTCGTTACAATCGTCGTCATTGATCGACGATCGGCGTACATTAATAATATAGTCGATTTATCATTAATAAAAGTACGTGGGCGTTGATTATAATATTATAATATACATATCGTAGTTCTCTCGTCGTCGTCTATACAGCTATAATATCATTATTGTGCGATTGGTTTTTTCACTTTCAATTCTCCTCTCTAATGTAATAATAATAATAATAATGGTCACAACATAACCGACGACTGTT